TGGACTTTTTTCCCCCCAATGTGTCATTTTTAAACTGTACAGAACATACAAAAGTAGCATTTAATTGTGCTTTGTGCATTTCATTTGGCTTATTTGAGGCATATTAACCAAACAATTTCTTATCGTCTATCAAAAACAAAGCCACACAAACAAAATGCTTGAAGAGAACAGCAACTCTGAAAATTGTTGTGGATATATATAGTGTGTCTATCTATCCTTCCTTCATAGATAGATAGTGAAACCAGCCTTTTTTGGAGCATGTTAAATGATGGTAGGTTGCTCATGAGAAGTATATATAACACCAAGCTGACTTTATCTTATTTTTCATTATTATTATTATTATTTTGAATCGATTACATTGGACATAACAGGCTATTAGAATATCACACCATCCTTTTTAGAAAATAAGAAACTAAGAAATGTGGATTTTTTTGGAAATCGTAAGATATTCATGGATTTTTTGCTTGGGGTCTGGATTGACTCATATTCAGATCATATGGTTTATTGAATAAAATCTGAAGTGCCCTTTATATCTTATCATCATAATGTACAATGATAAAATAAGCAGAGATTAGAAAAACTGCTGGCAAAGGAGCAATTAAGCAACAGCTTTGAGAAATAAGAGACAATGAAAATAAGGGCATGTACCAATTGTGTTATATTGTAAAGAAGCTCGTGTAGCAGTCTTGCTTCACATTGATTTTTGTTCCATTAGCTTAAATCAAAATCGTAAGAGACACCTGAGCTCAGTCCAGAGCACACCAGTAGAGAACCATTTCTATAGAGAGCATGTTATAAACAGCGCAGAGGGGGACCGCAAACCTTGTCATTGACACAACAGTCTGAGAGAGCATACTATGTGTGTGTCTGTGTGTGTATGTCAGCCAGCTCCCAGTCTAGCGCTATTGTCTAACAAGGTCTAATTAGCACTATGGCACAATGAATTAGCATAATTATGCAAACAGGGCTCCGCTAAAGGCCTGGCACAAGGGGAGGCTACGGGGGGCACCTATTACAACACACACGCACATGTGCAGCTTCAAACGTGTGCACACACACAAACACAGTCACTAAGAACACTTAGACACTGGTATAAAACATTAAACACACATACATAAAGGTGACAGTGCCTCTGAATACAGAAAACACACAGATACAAACATACCTGTCCACCACTTCAACAGAGAGTGACAATAACACAAGCCTGCACGTGCACTGTTCAATGGCCTATTTGATAGGCTATTTATGTATCTAGTACGTTCTGTATGCTGATACCCCTCTTATCTTTCCAAATACATCCTCCAGTCATAAACAGCCCCCATACCACCACAAACATCAGAAATCGGCTCTCCACAACCCTCCCTCAAACACTCAAACATTCAGGGTTTATAGTATTTACCAGCAGGGGTGATAGGTGAAGTCTGTGGGAGATAATAGGGATGACTGAGAGGCTGAAAGGCTAGTAGTCATTTAGACAATGACAGCTGTAGTGAAGAAGCTTCTATTAGGCTTCATTAGGACGCTAGGCTCTTGATTATATGCACACACAATCTCACTGTCACTGTTTCCAGTGCTTCAGAGGACATTGTATTGACTTACATTCATTTCCTGCTGACATATCTTAACCATAACCACAACCGCTATATGTATAACACTAAACCTTATCTTAACCAAACCCTGACCTTTATCATGTCTTCCACCTAAAATGTATTGATTTATATAATGGAGTCTTGCTTTTTGTCCCCAAACAATTTGTGTAACCCACAAAGTGGCAATACAAACAGATTTGCATCCTGACAGAACGTGTAATGCTATAAGTACTGGCACATACACACAAGAAAAATTAGTGTGTGTGTCCATACAAGCACTTTGGTTTGTCACAGTGACCTTTGCTTGAAACATTAACCCAACAAGTGACCCCACAGCCCAACAAGCCCTCTTACCAAAAGCCCCGCGACATCAACAAGCTTTATCCAAACCCTCTTAAAGACACACACACATTCACACATCCTGTGCCCCGAGGGGCATGAATTGTGTGCTAAAATCCTGACCCCTTAGCCGGAAACAAGCACTGCTAAAACTCCTAACGACACCCATACAAAGCTTTCTAACAATTACAAGCTAAAGAACCGGGAAAGTCAGGAGTTCAGAGTTCAGATAGTTAAAAGTGATCAAGTCCAGACTGAAATAGTCCCAATCATACAATGAAAAGACATAACAAGCAGCAAATGTTACTGCAGATTCATGACCTCTGGATAACCACCAGATGGGGTGCTTTCTATGTATATATTTTACCAAGTGAACGTCATGTTCCAGTCACCTGTCAAGTGTGTGCCATCTTTAGGATATGTAGGAAGAGCCATTCACAAGTCCTGGTCTGACTGATGTCATTCCACAGAAAACAAACCTGAACCCACTCCGTTCCAAAAAAAAAAAAAAAAAAGGTAGTAGTAGGTCAATGATTTCTGATTTTGTGGAAAAAGATATTAAAGCAGCTATTTAGGTTTGCCATTTTAATTCTCTTACTTTTATTTTATTGTGCTCACTTAGGTAGTTTCTTGAGTCCACTTGCCTTGTTGTAGTGTTAGAAAGGTAGTTATACCAGCATTTTCCACTAATATTAATGCATATATACATTATAGGAGACAGATTAGCCACCTGTCTAGATTGTACCCCACCTCTCACTCTATGACAACAGGGATAGGTTCCAGCACAACCCAAACTTGAAGAAAGGAAACTGTATCATCCCATATATTAAAAATGGTACATTATTTAAAAGTTATCCATAATACAATTGTCATAACCTAAATTCTTCACTGAGAAGCCTTGCAAGGTCCACTGGTCTTAAAATGAAAGTACTGACTTTATCTTCGCCTTAAGAAACAATATATTGTTCAATATACTGTGGGATAAATACAATAGCTGGGACAGAGGGTCACGCTGAGAGGGGGGGTAGCAATTTTAAGCTGAGTCCACACATTTTGGAAGCAGTGTGCTAATCCGGCCAGGCTTTTTAGCCCGCTATTCAGGAGGACAAGGACCCCTAGGATTTGGGCTTGTCCACACCTCAGGGGTAGGGGATTATCAAGACAGCAGGAAAGGTGGAGAGGGAGTGATGGTGGGTGAAATGAATATGTGTTAATTAGCACAGTAGCAGTAGATTCTCTAAGTATTGTCCCTGCCTGTATATCTTTGTGACGAGCACACATAAGTAAGTATGTGTGTTTGTGTATTTTAGAGAGGTTTCTCACTGACTCCCGCCCTCAAAAATATACCCCAGAGCTTTGACAGGGTCACCTCTGGGCCTTTCAGTGCCTCCTCTCAACCAGTCCTAATTGATCTCACGCATTACTAGCCCCAAACATGGGATGGAGAACAGGAGGGAGATGGCTGCCCTATTGTTTGACGAGTGAGGTCCCCTTGCTGGTGGCTCTCTACTCCTTTCTACACACACACCCACACACACACACCTCCGGCATGCCCACCCACCATCTCCCCCTTTTCCTCTTCTATGCTCTCATCTCCGGCTGTGCTAATCCACTGACCAAGTCAGGAACTCAGTTACCCATCTGGCAAAGCATGACTCCAGCTGGGAAGACAGAGAGGTGGAGGGGTAGAAGGAAGAAAGGGGAGCAATGGTGAGAGGGGAAAATTGAGAAAGAGGAATGTGGATGAGGGGGTATGCTCTAAGTAGTTGGAGATTTCTTGTGTGAAGGAGAAAGCCTTTATACAAGTTACTACTTTATATATACTCTAAAGAAGGAAAAGAATGAAAAACAGAGCGAATGAGGTATCTGCAAACCAGAAAGAGCGGTGAAGTGGAGTGGAACAATCCAAAAACATGATGACCTCTTCTTTTTCACTCTCCAAAGAAAAAAGTATTGATCCTCTTGTCTCCTTGTGGAGAAAAAGGATTACCCATTCTAGCAGGTTGGAATGAGAGTTGCCACTGAGCTCTGTCATTACTAATCTGATTCCAGTGTGCAGTGAAGTAGCCTCTAGCCATGGCATTCACCCCTGACTCCCGTGGAACCATCTGGCTGAGTAGCACTAACCCATGACCTTTCTCTAACCAGTCACATGCCTGGGAAGATGGAGCTTCACAAAAAGCTGTATAAAATGGCTCAAAGTGAACAAGAAGCACATATATTGAACATGATACTTACAAATCCCTTGTTCATATTGCAATAAGACATTTGTTCCTGTCATGTTGCTGCAATATTTTTAATATTGAGGTATAGTTAAAGAGATCTTTTTACTAATATAGACAAAACATTCATGTTATATTTTGGGCAAGTCACGGATTGTGCAAAATGCATTGATAATTGTAAGAAACAACTGCAGTTACAGTAACTGTGCATATAAAGAATTGCCTGAAATCACATTTTGGAGAAAAAAAATCCAAACTGTAGCTGAAATGCCGCTGTGGTTAAAAACACAGTGCTACAATACATCAACAAGAAACTGTACAGAACAGCCTGAATTAAAAAAAAAATCAGAAGTAAACCCACTTCTGATAGTCTAACACTTTAAAACAGTTTCAAAGAATGAAGGTCAGAGCGAGTGAAGTGACCACTCCATATCATGGAGCATGTGCAAATCCCTCCTTGACTCATGGTCTTTCCTTTCTCCCAAACCACTCATCAGTGTCGACTGAAGCAATAAGACTGCAACCCACTTTACTTCTAAAGGACATCTGAAGGTAGTTGGGAGGAATGAGCACATGATAAATCACTGTAGAAGCAGCACACGAGAGACACACTCCAATTCAGAGAGAGGGAATCAAACCACCTGCATCAAACCATCAATCAAACACTAACAGAACACAGCATGAGGTTAACCCAAACTTGTAGCGTGGGTGTGCTTGTGTGTCAAGGATAAAAGCCAGGGAGCACTATGGGTAAAATGAACTCCGCTGTGAACACAATCATATGCATGCTCTGATAAACACTCAAACACATTACAAAGACAATGCCTAGTAAGATAAAGCATGTACTTACAGACATTACCGGTGTTGTCAAAACTGTTGAGCACTTCATTAACTCTAAGAGGTCCCATGTTATCCCTTAGAGATACAAAAATATAAATGATTATGCAGCACGCTTGGAACATAAACTATCCTTTTTTATATAGATGATAGATGAAGAAGACTAAAGTGCAAATTTACCATTCTGAGCTTTGTTCAATAGCAAAAGCATCAAAAAGTGAATACTAATTAGGTTTGTCATATATTTACATATCTCTGACACAGCTATTTTGCAGAAAAGCATTGGGCTGTATTTTTGCTACATCTGAAATTATTCCTTTTTTAAATCTGCTTTTAATTTAAAATTGAAACATGTTTTAGATATTTTCTTTCCACCCACATGACCAAAGCTTTGTGGTACTTCATATATACTTCTCTTTGTTTGTTTTTCTTTGTTTGTTCAACTCAACTTTACTAAAGTCTACTTTTGATGACACAAGATAATTAACATTGTAAAAAATATTCACAGTAGTTTTTAACTAGTATAATATTGCAGGATTACAAAATGGCCCTTTGTGTTTTGCAGTGTCACTGTGCTTTACAAATGCCAGAATGAAACAAGAGCCTTATGTGGATCCATTCATGTGTGTGTACCTAAGTAAGGCACTGTACTCAGGAAAGTAGACACTTCTGTACTCCACCCACTGGTCATCTGAGGTATCACTGTGGTCTCGTGCCACAAGCCTTTTTCTGCTGAAAAGGTCAAATGTGGCAAACCTGCGAACAGACACTTGTTTGACCTCCGGACTCTCCACCTGCTTCTGACGCAACACCTGTGACAAGAAAATAAGAAAGTGGAAATAAATACAGCCTTCCTCCAGTCCAAAAGACAAGAGGTCTTTTGGGATTAGTATAACATTTAAATATGGTGACAAATGATCTGTTGTTTACAGTAAATCCTTGACAGTATTTATTATGTTTAATACATTTTTTCAGAAAGAAAACACAAAGGATTGAGTTTGGTTTTTGAGTACAGTAGTGAAGTGTTAGCAACTTTGCCTAACAGCAAGAAGATCCTGGGACATTTTTGTGTGGAATTTGCATGTTCACCCTTGTCACTCCATGGGCTCTCTCCACACAATGTGACAAATGTGTTATTGTACACAGTAAATCCATGAAAGTATTCATTATGTTGCATAAATGTTTTAGAAAGAAAAGACAAAAAATCAGGTTAAGTATTATGCTTACTACTATACTACTACATACAACATACTGTATATGGAAAACACAGTACTATGCAATATGCAGTCCATACAATTTCAGTTTATTACTGTTCAGGAAAAAGTGCCAAAAAGTAGTCTGGGGCTTTTTGCACCTCCTGGAGGGAGATATTTTTGTCAGCCAAATGTAAGGGCTGCATAATGTCCATGTAAGGGAACAGTTACTGCTCTAGTGCGTGCAAGGTTTTCAGAAGTTTTGGGGAGGGGAAAAGATGGCTTTCAAGTGTTAACAAAGCTACTGTTACCAGCAAAGCTGTGAAGCCGATGTGTTATACAATAATTCAGGCAATACTGTATGTTAAAGCAGATCAGCAGAAAAAAGACTGCTGTACTGTAATTAGTATATCATTATACTTATTATTATACTTATTATTAAGTGCTGGATTATCAGATTGTACAGAAACTGCCCCCTCCTTTTGGGGCAAGAAAGTAAATACAGTGCAGTTCATGATCCTTTTAAAAGTTAAGTAAACAATAGAGTTTTTGGGAAGCGTGACAGGGAACTCTGGGTTCCCATCATCTTTGTTCTTCCTTCAGGGACAGCAGTGCAATCATGAGAGTTCTGTGCTTGCATACCTGTCTCAGCAGGGTCCACCTGGCTCGTGCGACATCAGTATTTCTACAGGTCCCTGACCGGGAGGCGCGGGAATCAGCTGCGCGAGTGTCTTCGTGAATATTTTTCCCCAAAGGTGACGCCGGCTCGGTCCTTTCTGCAGCACCAGAAGAGTCCCTGTCCATTTTATCTTCGTACTTCTGGTAGGAGATAAACCCGTAAGCATTTGTTTAAATCCTGTTTATGCAGCTGTCACAGTTACAGCGGTGCGGTAATACAAAAAAATAAGGCTTTTTTTCTATAGCGACGCAGAAATGATCACATACACCGCTTCACTGTCATCACCTGTTACACCCACAAAGGATGCATGCTACTTCCGTACACTTTTGCAAGTCCAGGCATGTTAAACGATCGCGCTCGATTTCACAATTATAACTGAGGGCTGCTCACAAACGGATTTGATTAGTTTTGCCTGGCATTGCTCGCTACGTCATCAAGCGGGTATTCGTTTAGGAAATCGTACATGTGCCTGAAAATGTTCTCGCTGGCTGTTGTGCGTAGCTGAAGAATTAACGTAGAAGAAAGCAGCGAGGACTATAGGGCAATTAAAATGCCCTAACTGTCGCAAATGTGACCAACTGTACCTGATAGTAACCGGTAGCTAATTAAAATCACGCAAACGTCGCTGTCACCGGCTCATTTTATCTCATTAACGGTTAAACATTTGTCATGGCGTGTATATCGACTTTGTTTTTCTTATCTGCTCGTGTTCCGATGCAATTTCGGGTAAAATTCTGGGAGCTAACCGCTTGTAAACGGAAAACATGGCTCTCCTGGTCCCTTCAGCGTTGTTGCTCGTCGGTAAGGAGTTCATTCAACGTTAAAGATGCTGTTTTTACTTACCTTTGGCTTGGTGCAGGATTACACGCTGGTCTCCCGTCTCGCTGATAACGCTAACTCATTCATTATTGAAAACCGTGTCTTTCTGCCGGGTTGACAAAACTAGTCTTGTAAGGAGACACAGATAAGGGCATAGTGCTGAAATTGACACTCTGAATCTGGCTCGCTGTGCTGGCAAACGCCTCCTATGTGTTTTGTTATGCATGTGTTTATGTGAGTACTATATAAATATGCCCAAAGCTCTTCTATCCAAATGGTTAGAATTTTAAAATAACTTTAGATTCAAATTGGATCATTTATGAACGCAGTCATTTATTTATAAAAGCCTTTCCTACATTGCCATCACTATCATTGTTTTAAATAGGAATTAGCCTATTGGTTTGACAAGACAAATATAAAGTCGTATGGGACTATTTTGTCTACTGTCAGCTGCTCCCTTTAGGTGTCACCACAGTGGCCTCCATCTCACCCTATCCCTGTCACACCAGCCCTCTGCATGTCCTTCTTCTCTACATCCAGGAATCGTCTCTTTTCCCCTTGCCTGTCAGCTCCATATTCATCATCCTTTTTGCCACTATATTTACTGTCTCTCCTCTGCACATGTCCAAACCATCCCAGCCTTGCCTCTCTGACTTTGTCTCCAAACTGCTCAATCTGAGCTGTTCCTCAAATGTACTCATTACTAATCTTGTTAATCCTGGTCATTCCCAGTGGAAATCTTATCATCTTCAGCTCTGCCTCCTTTCCTTTTGCTAGCACCACCCTCTCCAAACCATGCATCATAGTAGATCTTGCTACCATCTACTAAACCTTCTCTTTCACTCTTGCTGCTATCCTTCAGTCACAAATCACCCTTGATATATCGTGCCCAGCCACTCCACCACACCTTCACTTTTTCCTTCACCTATCTTTGTGTGTGGACTGTTTTTCGTTTTGGATGGTTTACCCCAGGTGTTTAAACTCTACCTTCACTCATCTTCTCTTCAGTGTTACACCTGTCTCTTTCTCACTCAGATACATGTATTCTGTCTTGTTTCTGCTGACCCCTTCTCCCCAAAGCATACCCCCACCTCTCCAGGCTCTCATCTACCTGCTTCAATACAGCCAATCACACTGGGGAATTTATAAACTCAAGAATGTGATCATAATAGATCTTAATTTTGAGTGTTTCTGCACAAAGTGTTTTAATTACACCTCTAAAATGAATTTGTTTGTGAATTTGGATTATATTTTCTTTCAAACAGAAGCATTAAGTAATCAAGGATGAAAAAACACTGGGGTGACTTCATTATAATTTGTGGTTTATCAAAGTATATGTAGCCAGTCATGTTCAAATAAAAGCAGTATACTTTAACAGTGATTCACTCAAATTTAGCTTAAGATTTATAATATTTTTTTTCTAATACTATTCAAATTAGGATAATTAGTTTTGTAACAAATAGCAGACCAAAATTACTGAAAGAAATTTAAATATCTGTTTAAAAGTCAGGGTTTTTTTGCATACAATTGAAAACTGTAACTAATGACATCATAGCATCTATTTTTTAATAAATTCCATCATTGATTAAAAAAAAAAATCAGTATAGATTTAATAAACACAATTAGAGCAATAAACATATCTTCTGGTGTTTTGCTCACTTCAGAGTTAAACAGTCACGTTTCCCGAAACTTAAGTTTTATCATTGAACACTTTTCATGTCACCTCCTTGTCAATCCTTAGAATTACACAAAAACAGACATTGTTAGGCAGCCAGGTTATCTAACAATGACTTGCTGAACATAGCGATTGTATCTTTAACTATTGCTCACACTATAAGTACAGTAGTGCTTTGCTTACTCAAAAAGACTGTGACACTTCAATAAATAGGTGGAGGAATATTGCAGTAATTTTTGAAGCTGTTTTATTTTAGGATACTTCGTTATCATCGTCTGACCATCTAAGCTCCGGACTCGAGAGGTACAGGGACTTACAGAAGTATTTCAGGAGGAGATTAAAGGATGCATACCACAGGTTCTCCAATATACCTGATTACTCAGTGGTGAGGATGCCCTTTTGTTTTGGATTTGTCTATTTTATAATGATTTTGAATATTATCTTAGTGGGACTGATGGACAACAATAAATATGACTTGTTTGGCAGTTGAGTTTCTATATCATGAAAAGGATTATTTGGTAGCCTCAAATTATGTTAATCATATCTGTTGTTGTTATTTATCTTGTCAAAGGTCTCTGGACATCACCATTTATATTCCACTGAAGAAGATGGGATATACAGAATGGACAAGAAACAGAGTAAGCAGCAAACATGATGAGGGTCTTTAAACCGCTCATGTTAGCAGCTCTGAAAGCCTAAAGTTTAGCAGCAGAAGACTATTTTCTCAACAGGGATTTTTTTTTCTACTATATCCCTGTTACTGCATGTGCAACTTTTTATGCAGTCCATCATTAGAAATCTTTCCAACTTATTTCTTCTGTGTTTAGGTCACCTGGAGCCAGAGCAGGTGTTGAATCTAAGACAAATCTCTGGAGAGTTGGAGAAGACGGGACTTGAAAATAATAAGAGAAAGCAAAGATTTCAGTGGACGGTCCAGAGAATCCGTCTATCCCCACAGGAAAGGCATCTTGCAGCGTCGCTAAAATGTACTCACACGGAAGAGCTGAGGTAAATCAAACAAGGCATTTTAAACTACTGTACTTACTGAATTAGAAAGAGGATGTTAATTTTGTGATGAATCAGGTGTGTGGTCGTGAGGCTTGAAAGGAGAAGATTCCTACCTCTGCATCCCCAACATGTGACACTAACCCTGGAGAAAGTCTTTAGCTTTGGTAATTTTTTGCACAATAAAAATTCATTTCAGTTGTGTTACAGGTAAGAGCACTGATGTAAAACTTAAAATACTGCATATTATTGTGTGCATGTGTGAAGAGTGGGCCACAGATGAGATACTATTTTACTCGACTCTGGAAGGTCTACGTTCCAGCGCAGTGTTTCGTCTGGATCTCACCTCCAGTGGAAGCAGGATAACCTCTGTATTTGAGGAAATGCAGCCTGAGTAAGTGTAAGCGATGCAGCATGTAAGCTGCGTCTACTCCCACACCATCTCTAATTGACCTGCTGACATCTCCCCAGTGTGTTTGTGGAGGTTGCCCTGACCAGAGACCGACAGATCCTGACCATCAACTGTAACAGCAGGACAAGTTCAGAGGTGCTGCTAAGTGATATAGCAACATCAAATTTAGATCCATTTGTGGTTCAGCCACGCCAGCTCAATCTCCTGTACCACGTGGAGCACTGGAGAGGTCGGCTTATTATACTGGCAAATACAGGGCTTGGACAAGAATATCAGGTATAGTGTGTCCCGTGTGTGTGTGTATATATATATATATATATTAGTATTTTTAGATTTTACATGAGTGATTGCCCATCATTACCAAGGAAACCTGGATAAGTGTTTGGTCCTATAGTGACAATATAAGGAATAATGCAGACAAAAATACACATATATAAATACATAATGACTAGCAGAACTTACCAGGTATAATTCAGACTCAGGCATGAATGCAGTGTACTCTGTAACTACAGGAGTATACCTGCTTTTACCTACTGTTCACTTTCTCTTCAAATGCACATGGAAAACAAAATGTCAGAAGTTAAAATGGTTTAAAAAGGTTTCTGTCTTTTGACATGCTATAATTTTCCTTATGTTCTGTTTCAATTGGTCTCTATTCACAACTTGCTCTATTAACTTACCAGTAGTATTTTACAGAGTGCTACATTTAATATCCAGTTAAAACATTGATTTTCAGTGAAGGAGATTCATCTTTCCATTTAATTTCCAGGTGGTTCAGGCTCCTGTCTCAGAGCCATCAATGGATTCCTGGGTCTCTTTGTTTGCGCCTGAACCTGGCACTACAATTAAAGACATGGACGTGGTTGGAGACCATTGTGTGTTGGTTGCAAGAACGCCAGTTAGTGAACTAGCTCTCATTGTGGTCCCTCTGATCCACCCCAAGAATGCATACATAGTACAGGTAATTATTACACAATTTCTTACATACTTATGTGCTTGTTAGCGTTTGAGACTTTAACCACCTTTTGGTTGTTCTTAGTCTTTACTTTTTGTAATTTTATGGGTTTGTGGTTTAGTGTTATTAATATATTCTCAAAGCTTTTTATTTCTACACTCATGCTAAAGCTTCCATCCTGGGCTTGTGCCATTAAAACCAAGAAACCAGGCTTGGCTGACCAACAAAATATGCTAGAATTCCTGATATCCTCTCCAGTCCATCCGCCGGTTCCATACTGTCTACACCCTGAGAATGGGCTCCTTTTATCAGGCACTGGAGATGGATCCTCCCCAGAGAACCAAGCTGATTATATCACTACGCGCTTGGAGGCCTGCAGCCAAGTGAGGAAACTTGAAATATAATTTGCGCAAATAATAAGACAATC